CGCTGAGATTTTATTGCCTTGTGGATTTTCAAGACTTGTCGTCTATGTTCATATCTCATCGTGTTTAATAAGTACTTTACCTTATTCAAGAGAGATGGTACTCCAACTCAAACGAGCCTCCAACAAATGTGCGGGCTCACTCATAGTTCACGGTGCCTCAACTCATGCTGAAGTGCTCTCGCATGAGGAAACCCCGCGTAGCTGTGTACCCCCCAAGCATAGCTCCCGTGAGAATCGGAAAGGGCGGGAAATGTAGCCCAACAACACCTAGGACTCTCGTCAGCCCCTTCTTTTGACTGGAAAACAGAGGTTATTGATCGGACTAGTTTTGTGTCGCTAGAGACTGAGTTGCCGACATACTTTGAGCTGGCATTTCAGGGCCATGCAACGGGAAGTATTACTGATGATTACTCATTAAAAGCTCTGAGATATCAAAGACATTTTTCGTGTGTCTAGGGAAGCACTCAACTCCCTCGCTCAGTGCATATACGTGTCTTCAATCACGCCAATGTAGCAAGTCAAGCATGGATATCGGGGAGCCTGTTGTGGAAATACTATCAACTCTTTGCTTGTCATCCCGAGAAAATAGCTATGACTGGCGCCCGGCCTTGGCAATATTCAAAAGCACGACACACGCCGCGGGATGTCCGCGCTCGTTACCACGAGCAGTAAGGTTGAAACTCACCGGAAACCATCCGCGATGGTGCCCGGGGGACGCTCCACAGCACCACCGGCCACGGAGCGGGGTCTTGATAATCGGCGGCCTCATATGAAGAGAAACGCCGTCGGGACGGGTCCAAGTGCCTCGCACCGATCTTGAGAGTCCCCCACCCCTCGACTCCCCAACAACTTTAGCATCCCACCAGGGGTTTCACTCCACCTCACTTAAGCTTGAACTCTCATGCTTAACAACAAACCTTACCCCCATGGTGAGCTGGTTGCCTTCTCGGCTCTTGCTTCTCACAACCCGATAGCTTATTGAAGTTAAGGCCTAGCACATGCTTGACGGTAATCAAAGGAAGTTGCCGAGAGGGTGGAAGGGAATGTTTAAGTGCGAATTCAACCCGGAGCGATAAGTACTGCCTTGTGAGAAAGTTGTTGAGGGGAAGAGGAAACGCACTCAAGATATTGTCACCTCAGCCCATTCTCATCCTAGCATCTGCACACACGAAGCCGCGCTGGGCTACCAATGGTATCCTGGCCGGATCAGTATTCCTCCCCGACCAGGAGCAAGATCTGACGAGCCGCATGGCCGTCGGACTTTAGCTTCGTGATGGAATAGACCTAAGTTTGCCTTTGTGAGTAGGATTTGGTTCCGCCTATCTTTTTCAGTCTTCAGTCTTGTTTCAGAAAGTGGGAGCTATCATCTGTCTCTAACGGTAGGGTTTGCATTATACATGTAAAGTCATCTCAAATGCGTTATCACCCTTCAGCTTCGCTCTCGGTACCGTTGAACACCTCAGAATGATGTATAAAAATGCTCAATGGCACGGACGAAGAGTTATATAAAATGTTGCCCTTTGAACCAGTCTTATCACGAGAACTTGCGCGCTTTCCTACTTGCCACTGTACATCTATCAAAGACACTCGAACTGAATTTCATTCCGACTGCAGTCCGATGCATCAAATTGGGCGCCATCAGCATGGCATCCTACACTCACTCAAGCAAGGGAACACCCGGCCAATCCAAACTCTTCCTCAACCCCGCGGCCCTGAGCCCCGCGGGAGACAGGGCTAACCACACCACGTTCTGGCGAAACCCCAAGGTCGGGAACATCTACCGTAACACCGAGTACATCACTGCTCCGATTACGCAGCCGCTGCTGAACTATTGCGGTCTGACAGAGGACAAGTTTGCTTCGCTCACTGAGCCTATCGAGGTGCTTGATATGTGCTGCGGTGCAGGCGTTGTCTCGGCCTACATTCAGGAGATGCTGAAGTCAACAGGGCAAGGTGGGAAGGGGCTTGTGAGATTGACTTGCTCTGATTCTAGTGGTGGTCAGATTGAACATGTCAGGGGCCGAGTTGGGAAGGACGGCTGGACGGATACGACGGTGGTCCAGGCGGATATGGCGGTATGTGACAGGCTCCCTCCCAATATGGGTAGTTTAGAGTCTCTTTGTACATGGACGGTTGATGTAACAATGGATTCTTTACTGACTACATCAGAGCTTACCATTTGAGTCGAACAGCTTTGACTTCATAGTCGTTGGCATGGCGTTGATGGTTGTCGCTGAACCCTACGCGGGCCTAGCAGGTAGGTGCGCCGCCAGCGTCCACTGTCAAAGGATACAAAACTGTCAAGGAGAAACATCGTTCTCTGGCCTGCCACTGATTGATTAGTAGAACTGTACCGCGTTCTCAAGCCAGGCGGCCGTATCGCGAGTTCTACATGGGCAACGGAAGGTTGGGTCTACGATACCCGCGATGCCGTCGCAGAACTTAGCGTCCCCGGGCAGCAACCAGTGCCATGGCCGCAGAAGTCATGCCATCTGACCGGACTTTGGTCACCTGGCGCATGGGATGATCCCTACTTCGCGGCTGCCATGTATAATGCTTCGGGACTGACTGAGATTGACTCGGAAACCGTGGCCAAGCCTATCACTTTCAGAGATCCTGAGCAATTTTGTATTATTTTTCAGGCGCTGCTTACGGGTACCGTTGAGAGATACTGGTCTGAGGAGCAAAAGGAGAAGTTAAGGCACAAGTTGAAGCCTGTCATTGTTGAGTATTTGGGGAAAAAGTACGGCGGAGGGCCGTTTGAGATTGAGAGGTCTATTGTACTCGTTAGCGGGACGAAGGCAAAAGTGTGAATCCTTTGATATAGCAGTTATGTTAGATGAGAGACTCAGTTTCACAAGGTCTATCCTGCCTGTGCTAGTTGCAGTGGGATCCATGCGAAAGCTCCCAAGCAGGCTACCACTTTCCGAATGATTTGAGTCCTTGACTAGTAGAATTGTACATTTTCCAATTCCGCTAGATTTTCAAATTCGATGTAGTAGGCCATGGACAAAGCCAGTGGAACAGATGTTGAGAGACGCTGACGACTTCTGGACTAGAGAACTTCATTCCGGCGTAGGAGTGAAAGTACGAGAAGAAAATTGTGCCGATTCTGAAGATTGGGTAGGTGGTTTGAAGGCAACGATAGTAAATAGGTATGCCCTGATTGACTACGGATTTAAAATATGGTCATCACGTCCAAAAACGACAGGCAGTCTTGCAAGCAAATATGGCCCCCAATACTCAGGCAAGCGCTACGGAAGAATGAACTTTTCAAAGCCATCATAGTCGTCTGAGCAGCTAATAAATTATTATCGAGCCCAATGATACAATGATCACGGCTTCGGCAGCTATCTACGCCCGAGTGAAGTTACCGACGCCGATGCTGAGATCTCGGGTACGCTCGCAATACCTGCAGCGATCGATGCCTTGTCCTAGGTGCCAAGCACCTCTTACGTGTCTCTCAGCTGATTCCTCTCAAAATATCGTTACGGCGATATGTTGAGTCAAGGCAAAACTAGAATATTTCCGTAGTCTGGTTTCATCCTGGTGGGCGCTAGCGTTTCTGACTCTGTATGTTTTATAATTAAAGCTTCAACGGAAGCTCTAAAGGCGCTGAGTGGACAGTGCACTCGAGCGAAGAGACCGTGGCTCAGGCCTGAAGAGCAACCACTACCGAATCAACGCGCGCTAACGGAAAGTTTAATCAAACGTACATGCGAACGATACCCTTTGGTTAGAACCACTGTATCTGGGCCTCTGAGATATCGCGAGTAAGTTGGGCGAGGTTCTTTAAAAACATGAAGAGGTCATCGGCATCACTGACTTGGACTCTGGAGAATGGTCTACATAAGACTTAGAGTGCCCCTGCCTTGGTTTAGAAGTCGTATCCGAACGTTCCCATCTCCATTTTCCCACCAGTTTTCAGTTGACCGTCACTTGACGCAAATTTGACAAACCTATCCGATACACGAAATTGAAGCAAGGCAACAATGCGGCTTCAAGCCCTACTATTTGCTAGCACGATCGCTCTTGGAAGCGTCGGAGCCCTAGGACTGAGTCTTCCTAGGAATTCAGCATTCGCCCTGGCAGCACTGGTATGGGTCCTTTATGAGCTACCTACTGCAAATAATTCACCGCCGTGATCCGTCCAAATCGTGCTAATCAACCTTGCTTAGGCCCCTAGTGTTGCCTTTGCGTCTCCCGCAAAACTTCTGACGCGAGCAGCAATGAGTCCTCGCGAAGAGGGTTTAAAACTTGAGGATCGTGCGAATCGGGGACCGCCCGGTTGTGGGCGTGATCCAGCCACCTGCCAAAGAGACTAGGCCTCGCGATGATTCAACGGCTGGATCTACGACCTCCGAGGTCGACGAGTGAGTGACAGATCTACGAATCGGTGAAAGTGAAACGGTTAAATATATCATGGAGGCACACGAATAGACTATCATTACAGAACATCGCCACTCTTGAATGCTGAGATTGCCTCTTTTCCTCGACGTTTAAGAAGAAAAAAAAAAGAAACGAGTGTAAAAAAGATGAGAAGTCTAGGATCACGATGTTGACTTTCGTAAACGACTCCACTGGAATTGCCCTTGTTTGGAACGTCGATGTTCCAAGAATGGCTGCCTGCTGTCGTGACTGCACGCGAATAGGAGCCAATGGAAGCCCACATGTGCTCTCACTGGGCTTTCGAGATATGTTGAGGTACTCCAAGAGCTTCCTGCCAATCATTCACAAATATTTGTCATCGCCTGGTCATTCAATGTTAATTAGAAGTGCCGAAGCATGATGGCCATGCGATTGGCTTGGAAACCTCCATCAGGTTGGTCCCATGAAGGCGCAGCACACAAGGCGAACCCAGAGGCAGACTGCTGTAGAGCCTGACTTTACCCCTCGTCCTTCCCACAAAATTTCGTAAATCTTCCTATAGCAAGATCCTCCCTCTCGTTGGCATTCCCTCGAAAGTTTATCTTCTTTTCTCCTGCGTGTCGTCTCAGGGCATGGCTGAATTCTTTGGAGTTGCCGCTGGAGTGGCTGGTTTTGTGTCCCTCATGGTACAGATTGGTGAGGGCGTCAGCAAATTGCGAGCTATCCACGACAATGCGGGCAAGGCTGCGACCGATATCAGCACCCTTATCCGAGAACTGGATCTCTTGACACATGTTATGCAGGATGTAATTGTGCATGCTTCTAATCGCAATGATTCTGTGGTTCAACATTGTCAAGCGGATTGCGACCAAGTTGTTCGGGATTTGAAGTCTCTGATCGCGAAGATACCTCCAACATCAAAAAGTACTGTAAAGGCCAACGCGCTTAAGTTCCTTGCTTTTCGAGATTGGAACGAAAATGTGATGGCTTTGCAGCGAAGTATTCAAGGGGCGAAGATCAATATGATTTTGTGCGTGTCATAATCCTTTGAAGATACTTCTGCCGCCTTTCAATCACTAACAGAGTGTCAATGTCAGGATCACGACGTATAGAAACTCGAACCAGCTTAAAGAGTTAACCTTGGTCAGCCAACTTCACACCTTGCCGCCGACAGGAAATCCTCCTGAAGAGTCAGCCTCAGAGCTGGCTCCGGCTTCTGCTTCGGACTTATCCCAATCTCCAACCGCCTCCGTTGGCATAGTGCCAAGAAGAGAGAAATTGAGGGCCAAACATAGAGGAAATTGCCTTTTGAGACCATGCTCTTGTGTTTGCCATCGCACGAACAGGACAACACATCGGTTCTGGGCTCTAGAGTATACTCCTTGGGGCGCTTTGCAGCAGAGCTGCGACCTGGAGACCTGCAACACGACAAGATACGGAGCTTCAGTGAGGCTTGCGTTCTCGCAGTTTGGCATTAGATGGGCAGCAGTGCTTGAGGTCTATACTATCACATCCGCAGGCAGGTTCTCACTTCGTCCGAATCTCGAAATGGAGCAAATAGTGCCGTACACGTCTCCAGGTTTCGAGATTATATGGAGGTGCCAGACGTACAGCATTGGATTCGAAGAGGCTAGCGAAAGCCTGAGACAGCTCTACAGAGCAGACCCGCAAGGTTTCAGCCGCCACGTGAATCCAGGTGGGAAGTCCTATATCGAGGTGGGTTTGCCAAAGTTTCATTTCCGGCCATATTCTGACAGATGATGATGATAGGAGATTTTGAGGTATCCGTGGGCAAGGGGAAATGATCAGACTCAATGGGAACTACTGATACTCTTCATGCAAGAGTTCGAAATGACCAAAGGGACTGACAGTGTGCCGTAGGTCAAACTCGTAAACTGGGAGCATGTGAAATGGCTAAGGTCATTGATTCGTCATTACAGGTTTCTTGTGCAATGCGCGCAGTGGATTGGCAAAGGCCCCCACTTGTACTTGCTGGAACTACTTCTCGATTTGGGTTACGATGTCTCCGGAGTTGTTGGGGATTTTCAAGACTGGCCAGCGCTGTCATCGCCGAACTGGATCTCAGAAGCAATTACCCCAGACCCTTTCTTCATCGAATATTTCAAGATAGTGTGCACACACAACCAAGGTTAGTTCAGTCCTCAGCCTAAAGCATCTCACTGATTTCTGTACTCGAGAGGAATAGCGAGGAAAACGAAATGGCCCCTAACGTGTGATACGCAGGATTCGCTGGAATGACACCACTCCACGAGGCTATACTGATCGAGTCGACACAAACAGTAGCCAGATGGATATCTAAGTCTAAGAAAGACGAAAAGAACAGCCTCGGGCAGACACCCCTTCACCTGGCTGTTTCGGATCCTCAACGATTGAAAGCACTCATTGACTCGGGACATGATGTTAACATGACTGACATCCATGGCATCAAACCCCTGATGTACGCTGCTGCCGTAAACCAGGATGAATCCGTCACCCTTTTGATTGAAGCTGGGGCCTGCATCAACGCAGGTGATAAAAAGTAGAGTTTTGCTATCCGGGCAGTACTGTTTAGCTATCCGGGCAGTAATCCACTTTTTAGACCAATAAGGACTTATAGCTGCAGAGCTCGGGCCACAGCCCCACACCCGTACCAGCTGCACCTGCCCACGGGCCACTCAGCGCAGTTACGTAAAGCAGCCGCAGGCACGTTCAGTTGCAATTGCCCACGGTCGCAATTACCTACGGTCGCAATTGCCCACGGTCGCAATTACCTATAGAAATAGATATTTAAGTAGGTAATTAAGTAGGTGATTAAGTAGGTAATTGAGTAGGTAATTGCTACTATAGGTAATTGTAACCGTGGGTAATTACGACTATACGTACTTACGGCGGATATGCGCTAGGTAGCCCGTAGGTAGGTACAGCGGGGTAAAAAAGTTTAGAGTTTAGACGGCAGACTCTAATTGGTCTAAAAAGTGGATTACTGCCCGGATAGCCAAACAGTACTGCCCGGATAGCGAAACTCAAAAAGTATGGGCGTACTTTTCTACACTACGCCGCCGTGCGTGGACATTGGAAGTTGATCTTCAGGTTCCTAGTTCGCCTGGAAGGCTTTGCCGACAATTGGATTGTGGAGGGCTGGGCCGAAAGCGCTGTCTTGTTGTATCACGTCGAATATCCCAACCTTGGCAATCTTGAAATGCGCGAGGTTTTTCTCGGACAGCTCTTGATGAAGTGTCGTACAGCCAACTTGACCTTTGATGATGTGACTTCTGGCATTAAAGACAATTGTCTGCTACATTACAACACCGGAATCACTGACTTCGAGGCTTTGATGGAGCAAGGGTTCAGGCTATTCAACCATATGAATAGCAAAGGCCAAACCCCTCTGATGGTAGCCGCCGAATTGGGCGAACCTGATCTGGTCAGAAAGCTTGTTGAAGTCGGAGCTGACGTCAATCTCAAAGACTTGCATCATAGAACAGCTCTACACTTCGCTCTTGGTAGAATGGAGAAGAGCCGAGGCTACGGCTTCTGGGTTGCTATGGAGACTTTGCGGATACTGTTGGCCGGAGGCGCGAATGTCTTCACTATAGATGGCTGCAGATGCCCCTGTTCATCCTTTGGCCGTCTCTCGGTTGTTGACTTGCTGAATTCTTCCAGACATTGGTGGCAAGGGATATGGGAGAAGCCTCCAATCGCGGCGATGGAGCTTCTGTGCCTCACAGTGGAATATAGAGGAGCACAAGAAGGAAAAGACTTGCTGCTTTCTTTCATTCGGTGGGAGAAGCATGAGGAGCGTGGAATGTCCCATCTTTGCTTCCAGCGTCATTCAGCGGATGGCCTCTATGGCTTTGTTGCTTCATCTCGTCCACTCTGCCTGCAGGCTGAAGAAGTCGACGACATACTCGACGAAGAGTCAGAGTTTCTTGCCATTTTGGAAACTGAGATGGAAGAATCAAGTGCCAAGGACTTTGAGCACCTACTTAAGGACTGGCTCAAGCAGATGAAGAGCAGACTTGATAAAGTGGTTGAGGAAAAAAGCAGATCAGATGCGAAATGTGTGAAAGGGCAGGCGGAAGTCAAGGTATGATGAACTCTACCCCCAATGTGACGTCGTGCACCAATACTCATGTATTACCGAACAGCATGGCTACCAGGTGGATTATAAACGCGATTGCTTCTACCACAACTTGGTCGTAGACGTAGACTGGCCAGATCCTACACGAGCAATCAGATCTTCTCTGGCTATGTACATCGCTTGGATCGAGCATGAATACGATCATGGGGCCACTGCACGCTTGGCTGGACCATTCCACAAGGACTGGTACTCTACTAGGACCTCAATGGTTCACAAGTTTATCGAAGTCTTCTGCATACCGACAGCAGAGATTGCACACGCTTTGAAGCGCTCGGATGCGACTATCGAGGAAGAACGGTATGGACATGTCAATATTGAGCTGATCATAGAACACTTTCTTCGGCCTGCTTCAAAGTACAAATGGATTGACGATCGTCTTGGAAAGCAACATACATTCCCGACCCACGAGCTGGCAGAAGTGTTTCCCTTTGAGAGGATCAATTTTTACAACTTTCGCTCATTTTCGGTCCCTTTTGTGAAGTCTGTAACTTGGAAAAAAATGGGTTGTTTGGGTCGAAGAAGATCTGGATAGTACTTTTGGTACTTAGGTACCATGTCGCAGCAATACTCAGATTCTTCCAAGGCCATCGTCAACTACAGAACGGGAGACGGTTTTGATGACAGTAGCTGTCTTGGAGATGCCCTATTGTGCCCAACCGCACAGCAAAGAGGTGTAGCCACACATGATTTGCCGAACTCAGATAGCGTGGTTGGCCTCCTGCATTTGCCTTGTCGCTGCATCAAGGATACGCTGAGATTTTCACCTGGCTTTTCACTGGTCGTCCTGAGATTACCCCTCTTCAAGCAGCGCGAGAAGGTGTCTGCTGTTTACTACGTATAATTAGCTTACACTTCTCGCTCAGGATCATGTGCGTCCCTCAACTATCGCCACTCCGCTGTGGCTTAAATAAAATACCCTACATCGGCCAGTCGTCCAGCGTTCAACCCTCCCTCGGTCCTACCCCAGCAGTCATTAATAATCTGAGCGAATTTTACGATGGCGAGTTGGTTGGAAGTCAGAACGCGAGCGGCGGCACCATCGCCAGCCGTAAGGTGCCGATTTGATCTCAAAGGATGTTGCCGCTCAGGGTCTGACTGCCCATTCGTCCATGAAGGGCCCAGAAAGTCGCCTGCATCCGGAAAGGCCGATGCGGTCCTATCGCCAGTGATCTGCAAGTTCTTTGCAAAGGGCTTCTGCTCCAGAGGCGATGAATGCGCCTTCCCTCACATCTATCAAACCGTGCCGTCTGGCCCATCTCACGAGTCTGCGCTGAGAGGCGTGGAGCCCACTGGATCAGTAGCGGAAGACTCCCGCTCCAAGATCCCCTGCGTCTTCTTTGCAAAGGGAAATTGTAGAAGTGGCGTCAAGTGCGCATTTTCTCACGATAATGTCCCAAGAGAAGCAGCATCAGCAGCAAGTGAAGTTGCGGTATGTGGAACCTTAGACTCATCAAGCGACCGAAGATGGGTGCTGATTTCCTGCTTCTAGCTGCCCGAACCGCAAGAGAAGTGCACACGTGAGCTACTAGGTGCCTGGGTAAACTTTGGCCCAGGCGCATCTGTCGAGAAGCTATCGCTCTTCTCCGACTTTTCTTCCGCCAGCATTCTCAACCTACCCGCTCAAAGCGATGTTGCAGCAGTATCACGACTCCTGAGTCGATCGGGGTTCGACATTCCAAGTCTCGCCATTCGCGCAAGACCTCAAGGCATAGGGGGCTTGATGTGTGCTATCATCCGGGCAGAAGACCCTGACTTTGCACAATCACTCTACGAAAAGTTCAAGAATCCTAAGATCGAAGAAATATCCGGAATACCAGGATTGAAGGTCGAAGTGCACAAGCCTCTCAACCTTTATACAAACAAGGGGTTCACCCACAGGGTAAATCGCAAGAAAGTCATCTGCTCCTGGCACAAACCAAAGCAACTGGCTTGCTTGACCTTTGGTTCCGAGTCTGCAGAGAGTGAAGTCCGCAGTAAATTCGGAATTGGAATATTCACTGTGCTGGGAGCGAAGGTTTCTTGTGCACCAAGGTCGAACGCGCTACATCACCGACAGGGGAGCAACTTGGGAATGCCATATTCAGCCAATTCGTCACCGAAGTTGAGACTATACGTTCCACCACAAGCTACGAAGGACGACATTCTCAGCATGATTCCTCAAAGACAGCGACCCACAAGTGTAAAACTTGAGGGACTGCAGGACCTGGACAATACCAAGAGTGAGGTCGACTTCGTTGAAGCTCTACTCGTGGGCATTGGACCATTGGAGACGAGACTCAAGGCGGATGCAGACACCGTTGGCAAACGAGTCAAGGCGATGGCTCGTTTCTCGGACGAGGCAGACGCTATGACTGCGGTTAGGTTGCTTGACTCTAAGCCCTTGCCATTCAACAAGGACGACAGACTCAGCATCAGTAGAGTTCATTCTGCAACCTACAAGATCGCGGATCATATCTTCAGCGCGGTTCTTCTAGACTTCGAGAAAGCTGCTCAGACTTTCCGCTCGATAAGAGTCAACTTCAAAAGATTTCCACCGGCAAATGGCTACGTCACACTGAGACTCGAGAGTGAAAGGGGAGTTGATCTCGCGGCAGCTGAGACTCACACAGACAAGCTACTCGAAGGACGCTTAGTATACGATGCTGGAGGTAAGAAGCCCCTCTGGAGTCCATCTTTCAATAATAAACCACTGGCGAATCGACGGCTTCGACCCATCGAGGGACAGCATAAAGTGGCGTTTCAGTGCGCTCCGTCCAAAGCCGAGATCCACGTCTTCGGCTCACCCGAAGCCTCGCAGAGAGCTTGCGATGCATTGCTACAGTCTTTCAGCGACAACCCTTCCACAATCCACTATGTACCGTTGACCTCTGAGAGTCTGCACTGGGCCATCAGGGGAGGATTCAAGGCTATCTGCGAAATCCTGGGTGAGGAAGCTGTATCCCTCAACATTCTTGAGACACCCAAAAGGTTGGAGATCATCGGTCCGCGAGCTTCTTTTGACACGGCTATGGATATCTTGGCCAAAGGACGTTTACCTCAGGAGCATGAGACAACCGCAGTAGCAGAGGAATGCTGTCCGGTTTGTTGGACAACGGCTGAGACCCCACTGAAAGTCAAATGTGGACATGTGTACTGCCGTGACTGTTTCGAAAACTTCTGCCAATCGACCGTTGGTAACGGAGAATCGGGCATCCGCTGTCTGGCCGACGAGGGCGCTTGTAATGCCTTGTTCTCACTCCAGGAGCTTCAAGACTCCCTGTCATCGGTCACCTTCGAAGAGCTTCTTGCTTCCGCGGTGACGAGTCATGTCAATAGTCGCCCGGATGAGTTTCGCTGGTGTCCAACCCCAGACTGCCAAGCCATATACAGACCGACATTGCAAGGACCGCCAAAAGTCTTCAGCTGCCGAGGGTGCTCAAAGACCATTTGCGCATCATGTAACGTCGACCACCGCGGCAAGACCTGTGCCGAACACAAATACGTCACATCAGGAGCAGCGGCAGATGCTGATAGGAAGTTCGACAAAGTCAAGAAGAAGCTAGGAATAAAAGATTGTCCTAGATGCAAAACTTCGATTCAAAAGTCGGACGGCTGCAACCACATGACTTGCAGCGCTTGCAAAGCACACATCTGCTGGGTTTGTCTGGAAGCTTTCAATGATTCGAAGCCTTGCTATGATCACATGAACAAAGCACATGGAGGAATCTTCCCAGATGATGCGCTATACGAAGCATGAAATCGAGACGAGAAGGGAGGCCTCAGATCAAAAGCGAATTGAGCAATTTGTCGCGTACGCGGGAATTTTTCTTCACGAATATGTCAAGCATTTGAGATGGAATTACTGCCATAGATTGTCCTTTTCTGTGTTGGTAATCTAGCCTTTTCCTATCCAAGACAGGATGAAATCACTACAGTGACTTATTCGTTTTGAATAGGCTTTTACAACAGGAACTCACATCATTGAGCACGTCAAGCAAGACCAAAAACGTGCCAAGAATCGCTTTATGTATTGATATTTTCTAGCCTCACTATTGCTCACTTCTCAGGTAAACATGTAGTTCGTGAGGTCCTTGTCGAACGTCCACGGAGCATTTAGCAGACGGGGACGTTGATGACCTGGCCGACCTGGAGGCTCTCGGGAACGACACCGGGGTTGGCACCAGTCAGGGAGTCGGTGGTGATGCCGAGGCTCTGGGCGACAACGAAGAAGGTGTCGCCAGACTTGATGGTGTAGGTGGCAGCGCCGCCAGTGACGCAGGTAGCGGTGCCGGAAGGCTTAATGCAGGAGGTGTTGTCGGGCACGCAGACGTCGACGGGGACGAGGAGGACCTGGCCAGCGTAGATGACGTTGGGGTCGGCCAGCTTGTTCTGCCACGCGATGTCGCAGATACCAGAGTTGTAGCGCTGGGCGATGATGGTCAAGGTCTGGCCGGCCTTGACGGTGGTCTTGTGGAAGTTGCCGAGCTTGCCGCAGGTAGCGGAGGGAGCGGCGGCGGCGGTGGTGGAGGTGGCAGTCTAGGAGGTTGTGTTAGCGCTGGTGTCTTTTCAAGTCGAGACTCGCTCGGTAGGTTACTTACGGGAAGAGCAGCAGCGAAGCTGGCAGCAGCGGCGATGACGGTGAAGATGGAGAACTGCATTTTGGCGGTTGAAGTTGATTAGGTAAGAGATTATTGGTGATTATTCGTGTTAGAAAGAATGGACAGACTTAGAAAGTCAAAGTGGTAGGCAGGCTTGTGAAAGAGTGACAGAGTGGGTTGGTGAGAGCAGGACAGAGCAGACAGACGGGAAGCGATGATCACGGCCTAAATACAAGTTCACCTAAAGCACTGGGACAGAATACGAACGGTTGCACGGTTGACGAATAACACCCGAAAATGCCGAGTCCCAACCAGATGGCACGAACACAGAGATGGTTTCATCAATTAAGATTTCTCACTGTTCGCCGGTTCCCGAGTTCATCGCATGTAGGAAATGAGCTTCATTCTCACTTGTGGGGGCCATTGTCCTGTGGCTAATCACCGCGAACCTTAGCTTGGGGAATTGGCTTTTGACTTGACTGAACTCTGACTCTCAAAGCCTTACCCCTGTAAGGCGGACTGAACATGTGCACCCAGCGAGTCATTCGTCACGATGTGAGAAAGTTAATTATACAACATTGTGATTATGAGCTTCAATCTGTATTTGATTTCAATGCTGAGAAACGACTGTATCACCACTGAATCGACCATTTGGCTATCCCACCGCGCATCAATGGATGTGGACAATATGTTGCTGATCGACTGAATGGTTGAAGCTATTATATGGACACAATATCTCGGACTTTGTAAGCGGCGCGGGTGGCTTGACTTGCCACGTTGTTCATCCCCACGCCGACCCACTGCGTTGTTGAAATTATCAGCGAGTACGGAGTACAAGAGCCTTCTTCTAGCAGGGGCCACATCATATTGATTCGCTACACGGTTTGTCCGGCTTGCTTGAGATGAACGGGCTGACGACATTGCTTCATTGAGTCCCTGACTCGGCGGCAAAAGGCTTGTTCTTTCCCGCGCGCGCTAGGACTGTGAGTGTGAGCACTAGTCGCCTCGAGCGGTGACCGGAATTTGACGAGAGTAGGTGCGTTGCGAACAGTCGACATGCGAGCTGTTACAAATTCAACCCGGCTGGAATTACAGCCGGCTCGGTTCTCGCAGAGCAAGGCTTAGTAGTCTTAAACTTCATGTCACTGTCCGCGCGGCGCGCGGTGCGGGCCCCGGTCAATATTATTCGGCGCTAGCTCCCATTTTGCCTGAAGAATCGGTGACTTTATTGCTCCTGATAGTGGAGAGGAAGACGAGGCGAGCATTGGGCACGACTTTGAATTACTGCCCTGGGCATCTAACCGGCAGAAAGACGGCTTCTTTCTCTCCTAGCCTAAAAGAACAAAGTTGGACGGCAACGCCGATGTCGCGCAACTGCTCATGCGCTTCGAGATGAGAATTGGGTTAGCAGAGCGACTGGACAACGCAACGAATGGTGCAAAACTGGCAACTCTCCACGGTAACAATCATTGCCGGGATCTGGCAGATGATGGCGCTTAGAGGATGTATTTCGGACTTCAGTTGCCTTCTATAATCACCTTCTATGAGCAAGAAGCGTCAGGTTCAGACCACACACCTTGGCTATAGCGTCCTTCTGCGGCGCGAGGTCAGAGAGACATAGAAAATGCGGTGAGATTGTCAGGGGTTGACCCGTCAATTTCAAGACGGAAAGTTTCGGACCAGAGTATAATATCTATTGGTATTGTGGCTCTCCTAACAGAACTTGGCTACAACAGCATCGGTCTGGCTAGAGAGCAGTGCATTGTGCACGAGATGACTCTTAATGGCCTAAGAAATTAACCGTGATGTTTTTGACTGCAGCGTACATGCACCATATCCTTATGAGGCTGAAAGGTCGCAACAGCCCAAGCCCTACACATAGTTGCTGTATGGTTGTATGGAAGTCTTGGGGTAAGAGTCTGGGGTAGACATACTCAGCTCTTGGCAACCGCCAAGTTAGTGCCATCAGTGTTACCTTGTGATTAACAGCAATCTTCATCGACAGGGCACTCGAAACTCGACCATCAAACTCCTCCATTGATGAGCAGGTTCCTCTTGGTGACATGGAGGAATCATCTTCCAGGTGCGAAGACCTTTGCCGGGGTAGCTGATGCAAATTTAGAAGAAAGATCTTCGCTTCGGGCTCTCTGATTTATTCTAAGTCTACGATATCGTGCCTTTTATCATCACGCAAAATCCGTGATATGCTAGAAGACATCTGCCCTGTCCCATACATTTCTAAGCCACCCCGTTCGATACTGCAAAAGAGACCCCTTCAGAAGCTGAACGCGATCTTGATCCCAGTACAAGAAGCCAAGCTGCCTCCATGCTTCAACGGTGGCTTTCACCCGATCCAACCGCGTGCTGTCTATACCCACGTGGTCTGGTGAATTTTGCAGCAACTCTGAGCCCCATCGGCGGCAATCTAAACCAGCGTGCGCGTCAACCCAAGCAAATGGAGGGTCTGTTTTCAAATCGCCAGTGGTGATTGCCGGTAGTCTTCTTTCGTAACCGTATATCACATCTCGCAGCCGTCTAATCTCATATTCATGGGACAAGAGCGTGTGGAGGGTCAGGTCCAGCTGTGAGGAAACCACTGGGAAGTACTCCAAAATATAGTTACTGGGTACTTGGTGACCTCCCCTGAGAATTTGATGACCCGAAAGGCACTTTAACTGTGTCAAAGAAGCCGCAAAGATCTTGATTGTATCTTGGCCCATGGTGAGTGCACGGCTTAGTATATGTCGGAATGCCGTAATATCGTAGAAAACATGTGTATTTTGCAGGTTCAACTCATCTGAAGCATCAAGCGAGACGAAGAATTGATGTAGTTTGCCTGCAAAGTCGTGAATTCCAGCGATTTGCTCTATCTGGCAAGGCGTGAAGCATTGATTCAAAATTGCCCGTACTTCCATCGTCGTCTCTTCACTTACGCGGTCGCGACAAACTTGTGTAAGCAATTGATACCGCAAGCATGCAAGCACGAGCCGGTGTTCTTCATCTTTCGTGAGTGGCTTGGCTGCTTCTGAGTCCAAGGTCCATAATTGCTGTCGCTGAACTTCCGTATACAGAGTGACAAAGTCCCGAGCTATAAAGTCGCATCGCGTAGCCTCGATCAAATGATCAGCAGATATGGATGATATGTCTGCTGTGCCTGCGTTGAGGTCTTCCCGAAATATCGCATATAGCTTGGTGGCGCTCACCACCTCCCATGCATGATTGTTGCCAGACTGACCAGCTCTTGGGATAACTGAAAGAGCCACAGCGTCTTTGAGGACAGCAGCAGCATCGCGGTGAACAATATGTCGGATGACGCGCCGACGTTCCGCTATGAAGAATCTCCGCAGCGACGAAGACGCATTGACAAGCGTATTTAAATCGCTCAAAGACTCGAGGAAAGAAATGATGCCCAATAGTATATCTGCAGGCAGATTTTCGAGCGCACTTGGTGGTGGAGAGTTGATCATGTTGCCGAAATTGCGTTGAGTATTTGCAGAGGCCAAGTCGCATGTAACTTTTCGCGGTCGGAAACTTACGGCTGCTCCTTTGTTCTGGCGCGGATGGCAATTATCCGAAGAGCCGAAAACATCCTATCGATGCACGTGCTACAAATTCGCGAGCTAGGCAATCAAGCATTAATGCCGGGCTAACGCGTTTCACGTTGTTTGTAGTTCGCAAGATATCCACAAAAGTCAGTAGCGATAAGGAGTGGGAAAAGCACTGGCATCGCTTCGAATAAGGAGAGGTTTGCGAGATTCATTACAGTATTCCAGTATCCTAACGAAATCAAGCGAGAATAGGCACAAATTGAGTTCAACCTACTGCTCGTTGGTTCCTCCTTCGCTACCAAGGGTCTCGAGGCATTCTATATATCTTGACAACTATAGAAATTAGTATGAAAATGCCTCGTTTCTTAAGGAACACATTCATGTCATTGTTGTTCTAAGATCGTTCTGCGCCAGCAAGTCTCGTGATAGGCACAGAGCGTTCGCGTCGTCACCTAGATGTAGATACTTCTCTAAACAGATTAAGAATCGCTCAGGATGGGTGTTCAGAAATACGGCATGACCGCTGGATGATTCTGTTAAAGCTAGGGACTTTGTTTCACGAAATCTAGTCCTGAATCCGTTTAATCCATGTGAATATGAATCCTGACATG